GTGGGCTTTGTTGCTTCTGAGCTAGATGGCCGCTTGTTTACCGCTGTGCTTCTTTCAAGGCACATTTGCTTGTCCTTTTGGCAGTCCAGCGTACTTTCAATTTTCTTCTTCAGCACCATCATTTAAATGCACAGCTTCTTCTTCAGTCTTTCTTATTCAATGTCCAGCTTCGACATGCATATGAGTTACTTGAAAATACCATGGCTTGAGTCAGGCACATGTTAGTCCTCAAAGTAACATCTTTGTTTTTCAACGATTTACAGAAGTCTTCTGCAGCATATGTACCCAGTGCAGTGCATCATTTGATTTCTTGACTACGGGCTCCGTAAGCATTGACTGTGGATCCAAGCAAGATGAAATCTTTGACCACTTCAATCTTTTCTCTATTTACCATGTTGATGTGGGGATTTGGGTCCAGTTATGAGGATTTTGGTTTAATGACATTGGGTTGTAATCCATATACCGAAGGCTGTAATCCTCGATCTTCCTCAGCAAATGCTTCAAGTTCTCACTTTCAGCAAGCAAGGTTGTGTCACCTGCATGTCCCAGGTTGTTAATAAGCCTTCCTCCTTTCCTGATGCCAAATTCTTCTTCATATAATACAGTCTATCTGATTCTCTTTCTATTTTCTCAGCACAGTTTGAGCAAGTATGATGAGAGGATACAACCCTGACACACACCTTTCCTGGTTTCAAACCAGGCAGCTTTCCCTTTTTCTGTTCACACAACGCCTCTTGATCTATGTCCAGGTTCTACATAAGCACAATATAGCGTTCTGGGATTCTCATTTTTTTCAAGGCTATTTGTAGTTTATTATGATTCACACAGTTGAATCCCTTAGCACAGTTAGTAAAACAGAAGTAAACATCTTTCTGATATTCTCTGCTTTCAGCCAAGATCCATCTGATGTCAGTAATGATATCCCTTGTTCCAAGTCCTTTTATGAATCTGTCTTGTCATCCATAGCCTTCTGAAAACTTTGTAAATGGAATGTAAGCTCTAATACAAGTCCCTCCTCTGATCTTGGATTTTTATCATTTACAATTCTTAGATGTTTAAGATTCTTAAATGTGTCTCCAGCCACTGGGGGGGGGGGGGGTGAGGCTTTCTACTCCTGTAAGAGTTACAGTCTTGGAAACCCTTTGGGGCAATTCTACCCTCTCCAATAGGGTCAGCATGATTGAAATTGACCCAATGGGAGGCAGTGAGTTTGGTTTTTATAAATTATGCTTGAATTTGGGGGTCTCTCTTCTTCCCTATCACATTACAAGGGTGTGATGAATCCCCAGTGCTGAGAACAGTGCCTGGTTTATAGTAAGCACTTTCTGTTAAATGAGTCAAGTCTGCTTCCCTGCAGAGGACATTATGCCAGGGTTTTGTGCATAAATTGATTTCTTTGCTTTTAAAGTGTATTTTAAATAAAACATATACAGAAGCCCATTGTTGTTAAAGGCAATCAAATTTCTCTATGTGGAAAATTTTGTATTTCATTTCCTAAAGAGAAATGGGGCAAAATATGGGACTGGGAGTTCTTAAGTCACTTGTGTCCAAATATGGTGGGAGTACAAGCCTGTGGTCCCTGGTGCACTCCTCACTTTAGGAAATGCAGGATGTAAAGGCAAGGGCAAGAATAGGGCCAGGAGGAAGCACCTGACACTCCCTCTCCTCTCTGGAGCTGTCATTTAGAAAGCCTTAATGCTGGGGAGGCCCCTGGCTCCACAAGGCGGGGAGCATCTCACAAGAAGAGCAAAAGGCAGACAAGCAGGGGAAGGAGGAGCAGCAGGGTGTGGTGTGGGAAGGAGGCGGGGCACCGAGGCCTCACCTCACCCCTCTCCAAAGCCAGGATCCAGCTTTGCCTCATTATTTATTAATTTAAAAACCCTAAGCCTGGGGAATGAAGGTGCAGGCCAGTTTACCAGCCCTCATGGAAAGTTCCTTTAATATTTTAGGAAGCAGTTAGTCATCTCTGTTTGCTGAGCAGTGGGGTGGGCTCATGTGGGACTGCGGGTCTTATTTAGGACTGGCAATTATTGCCTTATTCACAGCCTCTCCCATCCCACCCTCAATCCTCTTCAAAGGGTCTTTAACAATAAAAAAGAAGAGAGAGAGAGAGAGAGAGAGAGAGAGAGAGAGACCGAGACCTTTGTTGTGACCCTATTTGTGATCGAGGAGAAGGTCTCCATAGGGTTTTCTTGGTTTTAAAATTGAGGT